CTTCATGAATCCTTCTTTATAGTAGGAAAAGACTGCTTCAGCCTTAGACCCAAGCACATTCCCACAGCAATTCTAAAGCAGCTCCAAAGGCTCATGAGGAGGATGCCTCCTTTTTCCACCTACCTATAGATTCCCCCAGCATTTAGGTCACCTGCTTGACCTGTGTGCTTGCTGCCCCTTAGACTGGCTTATTGAGCAGAACAGTAGTTGTAAAGAATGAAAGCAATCTGTAGAACAAGAAACTGAACTCCAAGCAGGGAGAGGAAAATTTTTACTGTGGTGAAAGAAGGAGAGGTAAAAAATTCCCTGAGTAATCCCTGACAAATGCAGAACACTCATGTTTTATTTTTTACTTTATTACTCATGTAACTGCTTAAACAACATCTTGTGTTGTTACTTGCTAAAAAGGAGATTCCAAAAGACTTTCTGGCTCAAAGTGATACCAAGTACTTCATTCAAAAGCAAAGATGGAAATCTATTATTGACTTTTGTGCCTTGGCCTGATGTCCTGTACAAGGCTAAAATAAAATTATAACTTCAGCATGAGCTGAGATCTCTTCTGGATTTCTGGAAAAGCAGATACATGGTGAAATGGCCTTTCAGGAATGCAGGACAAAGACCAAAATGAAGAAGAAAAAAACATATACCAACAGTCCGCTCCAACTCCTACTGAAGGAAATTTTCCATAGACTTTAGTAGGAGCTGGATCAGGCCCGAAAGTACTATGGTTACACTTAAGTGACATTAATATACAGGCAGTCCCCGAGTTACGCGGATCCGACTTGCGTCGGATCCGCAGTTACGAACGGGGTTTGCTCCGCGTCTCTCTGGTCTGCTGGTCTCCAGCAGACCAGAGAGACGCGGAGCAAACCCCGTTCGTAACTGCGGATCCGACGCAAGTCGGATCCGCGTAACTCGGGGACTGCCTGTATATTAATGTCAGGTTTCATATCCATGATTTTAATATTAAAGATTATGTGCACTCATTGACCAGTAGTATTCAGTATGTTTATAGATCAGAGCCTTTACAATTTCATAGATGGAAACTGCATAAGAATCTTGGTCTTTTAATTCTTTTGAAATGTGTTTACTTTGGTATTAAAGCAGTAGTGCCATACTACAAATATTAATTAAAATTGCATATTAATAATGTTAATTTTCTGTTGTGACCCCATAAAAGCCAAAAGACTTTAAGACTAAAAATTCTGGTCTTAACTCATCCTATTGCATTTGATCATCTTTGTAACTTGCATGTATTGAACAGGCTTTTTTGTATCTCAAACAGGTTTAAATATTGAAGAGGCTATGTTGAAAGATCTCAAGGAGTTGACAGATGGAGAAATTAAAGTAGCAGTTAGCACGGTGTATATGGCTCTTGAGGTAAGAGAAAAGATAAACAGAATATAGTTGTTAAACAACCAACCTGCAGAAGGTGGCGTATTCTTTCATACAGATTCTTGGTTATTTGTTTTCTCAAGATGGCGGATAGCAGATTGTGTCAATTATGTAATTCATTTTTATTAATGCCATAATTATTTGTGATCTGACTTTCATTATCATGCATCTTAATATCCTTTTGAATAAAAGTCATTTACTAGGACGCTTTAGAGCAACAGCTGCAGAAAATTGCAATGCTTGGATCATAACTGACCTACCCTTTCATGTAGTGGAGTTAATAGTCTCTCAACAACTTGAGAAAAGTGTCCCCTTCTTGTACTTTTATACAATTGCTTTGAAAGCTGTGAAAAACAGGCATGTTAGTAATAAATTATAGATGTTCTAGAGTGGATAAGAAATCCTTCCAATTTGTTAGTTAAATGGTTGCTTGTCTCAAATTTGAGATGTTCGCAGTACTGGTGAAAGTCACTTTTTTGATTGCTGGCTTTCAGTGCCACACCTCTGAACTGACCTCACATAAGCTGGAGTGCTCTCAATTAAATGTGTGCATAATTGTTAGCTTTTCAGAGTTATGCATATTGTACATATATTCTTTACTCTAGTATATTGTCTTTAATGACTATTGAGCTGATATCACTACAGATTTAGCTGTGCAGAATACAGCTCAAAATAATTCAGAGCCTAATTGTGTCTGGCTCTGCACAAGTGTGAGAGGGCAAAGGGACACATGAGGAATCTTCCCCTTATGCCTCTGTTCAGGGATCAGCCATTATGGGTGAGAAGTGCAGCAGCTGAGCAGAACAAATCCTGCTAGTGAGTGACTCTTTAATTGTGGAATCTGGATTTCTTTATAAAGGAGCCAAAAGGAATGGGCTAACGTGCTAGGCTTACTGTTACATTTGTTCCTATTTCTCTGGAGATGTTCATTACATTGCAGTCCCATACATACCACAGTGCAGGTGGTTGCTTTTAGTCCTAGCCCAGTCCTCACACACTGAGTAAGAGCACATAGCACTCATCACCCCCAAAGCATTGCACTTTGTATTACTGACTCACCTATCTTGTGTTACCCAAAATGATCCTTTACATACTGATAGGGTGAGCTTGCAAACTATGAGACAAGCAGAAGTTAAATTGGAAGTGGGGTACGGAGGTTTTATGATTCTCTCCTATTTACTTGTTCTCCCTTCTTTTATTATTTTCAATAGGCTTCCTGTTGCAGTAGGTGATGGAGTTCTACCCCATCCTCAGTCACCAAAATTAAATTTTAAGAGGTGCTGAGCTCCAACAACTCCACTGACTTACATGGGAGTTGAGGGTAGGGATGTTAAATATTGGTTAACTGAATAGTTGAGTAATCTCATGTATTCTTATCGGTTACTTGACTATTCTATAGTCCCCAGGGGCAGGGCTGACTATCATCCTGATGTGTTTACAATGTCAGACTTGGATTTTTTTTCCTGTCTATTTTTCAGAATACTTTTTAATTGCTCAGATAGAAGTAATGTTTTGTATCACGGTATCTTCTGTAAAGGGATTTCACAGCTATATACTTTGAATCATACTGGCTATTAGGATGTCAACGTGTTGATTTCTAGCTTACTGTATAAGTGATAGACTTCCAGTGGTGTCAGTGATAGTAATTTACATGCCAGTATAGTAATTAAACAGTTTAAAAAACCTACATGTTAAAAAGTCCAGAAATGTATACTTAAAAGGTTGAGCTGCTTTCTCACTGCCATACAGTCCTCTGTCATCTTTTGTCACTACACCAAACTTGCATGGCCCACTCAAATTTAACTTGGGTCCCTAAAATTTGCAAAAATGTCAAAATAACTAGTAACAAGATGGTTGGAAATACATCCTTTGAATAAGAAATGGGATTTTGTAATCTTATACAAGTTGAACCTCTGCGTCTGGGATTCTCTGGTCTGGCAACATCCATGGTCTGGAAAAACCAAGGATGTTGCTGGACTAGAAAGCCCCAGCACAGAAGTTGCTGGCGGCTGGCAGTATAGGTGGCCATCGGGCCCAGCAGGGCAGCAGACCAGTGGGGAATCAGAGCCCAAAGCTGGCAGGGACACCGGAGCCTGCAGAGCTGGGGTGCAGCAGCTTCACAGGTGATTAATCAATCCTGCCTAGTCAGAGGCTCAGGGGACAGACTGGGTGGGACTGATGAAGCTGTGCTGCACACAGATGAGAGGGAACATTGCGTCTGGGCCAGCAACGTTTGCAGGGCCAAGGAACTTGCAAGGCTACTGTAGCCAAGGGGCTAAGGGCAATGGGGCCAGGAAGCTGGGGAGAGAAGCCCAGGAGAAAGGCTGCTCCCCCAAACCTTCCCTGCTCTGGAAAACTCCCTTGTCTGGGACTGGTCAGGTTCTGAGGGAGCTGGACCAGGGAGGTTCAACCTGTAGTAATTAAACAGTTTTCTGTCATTTTGCAAAATTAAGGTAAATGGTGCAAATTAGGCTTATAATAAAGAACTAGCTTCAGTATTAAATTAAAATGCCTTTTTTTTTTTTACTCTGTGGAAAGAATATGTGGAATGCAGCACTAGTGCTGTATTCACAACCTGTATCTAGCATACAGGTAGCACTTACACAGCTCTGCTGGGAGATGGAGGATCTTTACTTCTACATTGCACAGATACATATATTTGGGTTAGTGCTAGTCCCATTCTAGCCTATATTTTGTATCCCCTTCTTCTAGCACCCACAGAAGACATTTGGCCACTGCGTAATTTTTATAGTCCTAAAAGCAGATAGGTTTCAGAATTAGCTTCTGTGACTGCATTATGTCACATTTGACTTTAGAATACTGCTGTTCGGGGAACACAGGGATTTGATTTGCAAGCAATGAAGTGGTTCACAGTAGGGATGTTAAATTTAGATTAATTGGCTAATTGAGTAGTCGATGCAATTTGCAGCAACTATTTGATTAGTTGATAAGGGCGCCTCCTCCTTTAAAGTGTAGCAACCCTGGGTTCCATGTGGTGCTGCTTCTTTTAAATACTGCAGGGCAAGGCCCCAGCTGCAGGGTAAGTCCCCAGCTGACCCCAGTCTGTACATGGCATTTCAAAGCAGCAGCACTGTATACAGCCCAGGCTCTGGACCTGGGCTCCACGCAGCGCTGCTGCTTTGAAGCATTCCTTTTTCTTCCCCCCCTTGCTGCCTCTGATAGATAGAGGCAGCAAGGGGGGAAGTGACTAGTCAACTGTCTGATAAGCATTTGCTTATCGGACAGTCAACTAGTTGTTTTTATCCCTAGTTCACAGGATCATTGTTTGAAGCATAGTTAAGTGAAAGCAAGAAGAATCAGCTGCACACGCACAAAGCAATCAAATGATTTCCAAGAGTTAAATGATCTTTAAGCTGAATCTATCAAGTCACTGATAGTACCAGCATTTTTGACGGAAGTTACCTAGAAGTGCTGATTGTCTTGGAATGAAGATATCTCTTAAAGATTCAGCCTCTTCCTTCTTCTGCCTTACCTTTTGCTTTACTACAATTTATTATGGGTAGAGAATTGCCAGACAAAAGGACATTTGTTCAGTGACCATAAATCATACTTTCTAGTTCTCTTTGCAAAAGAAACTTGCTGTAACTGAAGTGGCATTACTTCTTCCTCTCAGTTTGGCTGCAGACTAATTTTTGTGGTTGCTGAATCCCTACACTCTGTTCAGACACTCCCAGAACTCTGTCTGGCATATACAGTTCTTGACCGAAGCAGATAGGATAGTTGTGGGTGTGTTCAGATTCTCAGCCTTGCCAGAGTGATCTTCAACAGCACCAACAGTGACAGGGACAGCTTACAAAACCATGGCGTACTACTATGCTTGCCACTTCTCCCTCCCCCAACAAGCAGTGCTCGGTTTCACATAATAGGTAGAGCCCTGCACAGATACAAGATTTGTATCTGCATCTGTATCTGCAAAAATGAGCCATGGATATATCCACATTGACATCTGCAGGAACGGATACCTGCAGATATCCATAGATTTGCAGGTTCTTATACTAGGAATAATTAACACTAGGCAAAACCCTGAAAACCCTGAAAACACTTTTACTTTGAGTGTAATCCTGAATACCCAAGTCTTTACTTATATAAAACTCATGTTAATCTTCCTGCGAGTTTTGCTTGTATAAGTACTTCTGGATTTGCTCCAGTAATAATGATGATAATTTATATTACTTAGCAGGTATGCTGTGCTTTCTCTGTTTGAAGGTGGGGTGGGGAACCTTTTTGGGTTGGGGGCCACTGACCCACAGAAAAATCAGTTGGGGACCGCACACAAGTGAGAAGTGAACCCCCTCTCCCCACTGAAGCAGCCCCTAACTAAGAAGGAGAAAGACATTCTCCACATTCCCTTTGCACAGGCTAATAGATGTTGTGTGCTCCAGCCCCGTGGAGGGAGGAAACACCAGCTCAGGCTCCTCAATGTTGGAGGAGGGAGCTCCAAGCCTCAGGGGCTGGATCCAGGCAAGCCGGTGGCCACATCCAGCTCCTGGACCTTAGGTTCATAGAGTCATAGAATCATAGGGTTGGAAGAGACTTCAGGAGGTTCCTTACCCCTGTTCTATGGGCTGTGCAGACATTAACTTATCAGACATCAAGAAGGACATGAGCTATAGGCTTGGCTTTGCTTTAATGCCACAGATGTTGCATCTATGATGTGTTCTCTTCCTTAGAAAACTAACAGGGTCAAATTGTTCTTCCACCCAGCAGACACATAAGAGCATATTTTGATGAAGTTTTCTTACACCTGATTATTTCACTATTAGTATCACTACTCAACATTTACATTGTAGTATCCCTGAGAGCCCTGAAAAGAATAAAGCTCTATCGGTATGTCTACACTACAGCGCTAATTCGAACTAACTTAGTTCGAATTAGTTAATTCGAACTAAGCTAATTCGAATTAGCGCGCTTTGGTTCCATGATCTATCCTGATCTGATAGGATTTATTACACTGGTGACACTGC